TGTACTTAGCAACAGAAGGGCGCCCAAAACTTGCGTTATAAAAAAAAAAAAAGGGCGCCGCCTACGTCGGGCCCAATTTCCGCCTCATTTTTGCTATGCGAGTGCTCTATCTTGTATTCTAGTGATAAGGTGTAGGTGCGACCTCCCAGTAGACTGATATAATGGCGGAAGTATCAGTAAAAATATTGGTTATCTATCTTCTTGTATGCTTCTCAAATATAGTTTTGGTAGAGTCTCTTTGTCGTGGGGACTCTTGTGTGTGTCCATCTGATTGTAAGTGCAATTCCACAACCTCAACAGCGAACTGTTCAGGGTTGAACTACGCTGTTATCCCGGAAAATATCATTGACTTTGCCAACCAGTGAGTACAGTATATACTATTACTAGGCTAGGCCTAGCTCTAGGGCCTCTACTACTAGGCCTAAAATAATACTACTACTATTAGGGCCTCTCTCTTGTCCAGAAGTTTCTGTTTGTAATGGTAATGGTTTTGTATTTATATAGCGCCTTCCACGGTGAAATCGTTCAAAAAATACGTGAATGAAGTAAATGATGAACTAAAACAGTTAACCAAACATAGGCCTAATATAGGACTAGGCCTAGGCCTAGCCTAGGCGTAACCAGGGGCGGATCCAGAGATGTCCCAAATTGGAGCCAATAAAGAAAATACTACCCTCCCTAGGGGGTTCCGGGGGAATTTCCCCCCCCCCCAAATGTTTGTGTTCTAGACGCAGGAAAATAACCTCTGAGTTTGTCTGATTGAGGCGTTTTGGGCAACCATATTTTTTACCTTCCAAAAGGGTGTTGAGTTTCCCCCTAAATCCTCCCCTGATAACCGACAAAACAGACAAAAAAATAGAATCATACTTTCAACTTTGTCACACTGTTTCACCGACTATTGATTTCACAGTGTGTCATAATGATGTGTGTAACTATAAACCTACAGTAACCAACAAAAATGAAAAATATGGACGAACACATGTGAAGAGTGGTTTATTGTGAATTAAAAAGATGAGTCTTTAATCGGCTTTTGAAAATCCTGGTTAATGCTGCAGGCATACATAATCGGGCAGGCTGTTCCACAAAAAAACCCATCCAAGAACAAAGTTCAATCACAGACGGCAAACTTGAGCAAACCAACAAGGCAATATTTTTTCCCGACAATGATGGCAAGTCCTGGGGTAAGAAAGGCCTAGTGGCTAGGCTAGTGTGCACAGAATAATGTAGCTCCTGCCAAAATTTATCACAACATCTATTCTTTTGGAAAACTTTGTAGAAGCTACCGTACGCATAGCCAATGCTCACGCCTCAACGAAGAGTGGCTACTGAGTAGCTGCATCTGGGCGTCCAAACATGGCTAGTGAATAACACACCTTGCCGTAAACATAGGCTAGGCTTTTAGCTTTGGTGTAAGCATAGCCTCTCGATAATGCTTACGCCTCGAACTGAGTTAAAAAGAATAAGTCGTAAAAGTTGTGCTTGCCACCTGTTGACTTGTTTCTTTCACTGTATTTTAAGTGAGAAGTTTAATAAATAAATAAAATAACTAAAATGTCTTCAGGTGACTGTAAAAATGAAATGAAATCAAATTAATTATAATTTAATATTAATTACAACAATTGAAGTAATACTTGTTTTATATTTTAGTAGAGGTTCTCCCATACATTTTATAAAATCATCCTTGAATCATGATATTAACACACAAGTTTTTTTCCATTTTAATATACAGGATTCTCAGCCGAAACGATTTCACACAAGTAGCATCAGGAGCTATAAGTAAAGACTCACTTGTTGTGAATCTGTAAGTAGACAACAGTGATTGATTCATACCACATCTTAGCAAAAAGGTCCAAGTCAGCATGGATCCTACTAGTTTATTTAGAGATATCTTGCACCATTACTGTACATGCATGCAAAACTTCTACATTACATGCATGCAAAACATCTAATACCATTACACACATTCAAAACATCTTGCACCATTACACGCATGCAAAACATCTACCACCGTTACATGCATGCAAAACATCTAGTACCAATACACACATTCAAAACATCTTGCACCATTACACGCACGCAAAACATCTAGCACCGTTACATGCACGCAAAGCAACTTGCACCATTACACGCATGCAAAACATCTTGCACCATTACATGCATGCAAAACATCTAGCACCATGACACATAGAATTCTTCTTGCACCGTGACAGATGTAAAAAACAGTTTGTACCATGACACACGTAGAAAACATCTTGCACCATGACATGTGTAGAAAACATCTTGCACCATGACACACGTGAAAAACATCTTGCACCATGACACACGTAGAAACCATGACACGTAGAAAACATCTTACACCATGACACGCATAGAAAACATCTTGCACCATGACACAGAAAACATCTTGCAACATGACACACATAGAAAACATTTTGCACCATGACACACGTGAAAAACATCTTGCACCATGACACACGTAGAAAACATCTTGCACCATGACACGCATAGAAAACATCTTGCACCATGACACAGAAAACATCTTGCAACATGACACACATAGAAAACATTTTGCACCATGACACGTAGAAAACATCTTGCACCATGACACATGTAGAAAACATATTGCAACATGACACATAGAAAACATCTTCCACCATGACACACGAAAACATCTAGCAGCATGACACATGTAGAAAACATCTTGCACAATGACACGTGTAGAAAATATCTTGCACCATTACATGGAAAAAATATCTTACACCATGACACCAATAATAAGGAATTTAGTTGTAAGAAAAAAAATACATCAACGAGAAAACCTGTAAAGTTCCCAAGATTTTAGCAAACATGTAATGTGCATGGTATTCAGTGTGTATCACACCAAGGACAACCAGATAAGTCCGAAGACTTCTTTCTAGTGGGGTCTTTCTGGTGGTGAATCGAACAGTACACTTCACATTGCACACATCACAAAATAATGGCTTAAACATCTCATCTGAAAGATGGTGAGCTATCGTAACTAGTATTTCAGCCCTGCAGCTGAAACACAATTAGAGCAGCGTTGGAATTGAACCGGGGATCTAGAGATCTCCACGTTCAGCGCACACACAGTGGCTACCACCAGTTTAGTTGAGCTAATCTGCTCTCTCAAGCAAGCACGCAGCTTCCACTCTGGCGTCGGACATATTTTCACTGTCTGCGTACAATTGTATCAAATTTAAGCAAGGCTTGTTTAATCATGTCAAAGTGATGGTGAGTCTCGGTGGGGAATTATTAAAACAGATAATTCTATATATAGTACCTTTACTTTTGTGTGAACAGATAATCCTATATATACAGTAGTACCTTTACTTTTGTGCAGGGAACAGTGAAATGTGTGAATCCAGTATTAGATAATCCTATATATACTGTAGTACCTTTACTTTTGTACAGGGAACAGTGAAATGTGTGAATCCAGTATTAGATAATCCTATATATATACAGTAGTACCTTTACTTTTGTGCAGGGAACAGTGAAATGTGTGAATCCAGTATTAGATAATCCTATATATACAGTAGTACCTTTACTTTTGTACAGGGAACAGTGAAATGTGTGAATCCAGTATTAGATAATCCTATATATACAGTAGTACCTTTACTTTTGTGCAGGGAACAGTGAAATGTGTGAATCCAGTATTAGATAATCCTATATATACTGTAGTACCTTTACTTTTGTGTGAATCCAGTATTAGACCACCCAACATGCATTAAAAACATTTTAAGGCTCATTTTGTGACTTCTATCTTTTAAACTAATTTAATTTATGTAATTAATATTCTTAATTATAATCAGTAATTTTGATCAAAACATCATAAATGCTCACATATATGTAACTGAATATGTGAGCTTTATTTTAACCTATGACTTTTTTGTAAGCTAGTATTGTGTACTTCTATTTGTAGGGATCTTAGCAATAACAAAATTGCTAAATTGAATAACAGTTCTTTTGATGGAGCTAAATATCTTGAAACAATGTGAGTACTTACCTTTTAATTTATTTTATATGTACACTCATTAATCCACTAAATCTTGATGAAACCAACAGCAACTACTTTATTAACAGAATCGTAGCGTTAAAATGTTACATTATTTTGCTATGTTTTTGTCTGGTTTTAATAGATGAAGAAGTGTAGTGCCAAAATCCTATTTCTGGAATTGAAGCTAAAACTGTATATTTGATGAATATATTTGCCAAGTATCGGTGTAATAGCTTATACAACCTTTTATGTGATTTACTTTTTTTTTTTATCTCCTCTTTTTTTAAATGAAAAGACTTTAAAAAAAAAAAAAAATTTTTTGGAATCTGTGATGTACCCCATCAATTTCATCTGTACTTATAAGAAGCCAAATGTAAAAATTGTGCTACCTATCTACAATATAATAATGAACATGGCATACCAACCAATAAATACCCAATAATCCTCTTCTACACAAAGTTTAATGCCAAAGAGAACAGCCCTGTTATTAAACAGCCCTGTTATTTTGTTACTTGGTATTTGTATAGCACTTTTTCCCTGGTCATTGGGTTGACAAGCTCAAGTGTTGCTACCATATTGGCGCAGTAGCAAGCAACCCCACCAGGTAGACATTTACATTCCTGGGGGAGGGAAACAATGCAGATAAAGTGCTTTGCTCAAGAACACAAGCAAAATTCGCAGCGAGGGATTAAAATCCTGACCTCGTTGTTGGGAAACAAAGCCATTCCCACTGCGGCAAATTGCTTCCCTGCAGCTGCTTTATGGATTAGATATATCAAATTTTCAATTTCACAATCAATAACTTTATTATATTAGTTTCAATATTTTAATTTTAAAATGATCTAATAGTTTTTTATTTGGTGATTATATGTAGAAACCTTGCTGATAATCAACTTATCGCTTTAGCTGATAATGCTTTCCTAAAATTAAGGAACTTAACAAATTTGTAAGTATACAATAATTGGTTTTCCCTTCTAAAAACTGGATACAGTACTGTGTATAGAGATACTCATGTAATGTACAGTTGACATCTCCCAGTTATGAACCAGCCAATTGTCAACTGAGCTCTCTATTTTCGAATGCAGTACAGTGTATGTAGGGTTTACGTCATTGTGAACAATGACCGAGTCCTTAAAATGCTTATGTAATATGCAGTTAATATCTCCCATTATCATCCACCCAATTGTCAACTGAGCTCTCTATTTTACGAATGCAATATGTAGCGTTAACGTCATTATGAGCAATGACCTACAGTAGTCCCTAAAATGCTCATGTAATGTACAGTTAACATCTCCCAATTATGATCCACCCAATTGTCAACTGAGCTCTCTATTTTACGAATGCAATATGTAGCGTTTACGTCATTATGAGCAATGACCTACAGTAGTCCCTAAAATGCTCATGTAATGTACAGTTACCATCTCCCAATTATGAACCACCCAATTGTCAGCTGAGCTCTCTATTTTACGAATGCAATATGTAGCGTTTACGTCATTATGAGCAATGACCTACAGTAGTCCCTAAAATGCTCATGTAATGTACAGTTAACATCTCCCAATTATGAACCACCCAATTGTCAGCTGAGCTCTTTACGAATGCAATATGTAGCATTTACGTCATTATGACCAATGACCCAGTCCCTGAAAGTTTGCAGAATGCAGATCTTCAGATCTACAGTACAAATATTCACAAACATTTTTTAATGATGCATAATTTGATGTTTTCTTTTTAGTATGGCATTTGTATTATAAACTTTAGGAATGTACTCTAGCTGGGTAGATACAGTAGCACAAGGATGTGTACAGTAAAAGTCATTTTGTTTTAATTAACAGGGACCTAAGTGGCAATGTATTAGAAAGTTTCACTGCTCTATCTTTTGAAAAAAACATGACAAAGATGAAAAAACTGTTGCTCCGTGATAACAAATTGACCACCCTTACTGATATGAACTCGACTTTCCCAAACCTACAGGAAATGTAAGTATGTTTTCCTGTCTCTTCCATCACAGGCTAATAGTAAGTTGCAGATTTGAGACAAACTAAAAATGTGCTATATAATACAATTTGCATACTACACATCTACACGTGCATGACCTGTCATACTAGTACATACATGACATAAAGCAACATTACTCCTCACTCTATAAACATGTGTGTAAGCGAAAGCGATCTACAGGAGAAGCAGAACGGAGGGAATGGCAAAATGTGAGCTAATATTATTACTCTTTATTGTATGGACCTCTACTATTCAATTAAGACCCTTGCAAAAGCTTCAGAACTCAGCAGCACATGTTGTCTGTCTCACTAAACTTTGTGATAATGTTTCACCTATCTTGAAAGACCTTCATTGGCTACCGATAAGTAAACGCCTAAACTTCAAAATTATTCTTCTCGCTCATAAATGCATATATGGCTACTCCCCACACTATCTTTCTTCATCAATCTCACAACAATTATCTTCACGTTCCACAAGACAGTCAAATTCTCTCAGGTTATCTGTCCCCAGAGTGCTACATGTTCATACTGGCGAACGGTCTTTCTCTTTTGCCGCTTCGAAATTATGGAACTCTCTTCCACCTAATCTAATATCAACTTCTGATACTAATGCATTCAAGACCCTCCTTAAAACCTTTCTCTTTAATCAATGACTCTTTTATCTTTAAGCGCCAGTGACAAAAAATTATTTTTTAAACAGGCGCTATACAAATTCTCCAATTTATTAATTATTATTATTGTACTTGTACTCAAACCAGCTGCATGAACAACGATGTACATGTAGCATTGTATGTGTACACTCGATGTAAACAAGCATATTGCGCTATTTTTGGCCCAAAATGTTGAATAACAACTTGATGTTGACTGTTTTAAAAATAATTTTGGGGACTTTTTTGTGCACCAAGCATCTTAGTTTTTACAGCCAGGCCTTGATGAAGACTGAGCCGGTAATTCTAGCCAAGTAATTGCATTGCATTTTATTGTGATGCATTTGATGAAGTGCTTCGCAATTAGATCTATAAGGCACTGATGCCAGCTTTCCTCTAGATTACTGGATAGTCCAAGTTCCATAAGTCACTGAAGCCAGCTTTCCCCTAGATTACTGGATGGTCCAAGATCCATAAGGTGCTAATACCAGCTTTCCTCTGTGTTATTGGATAGTTCAAGATCCATAAGGCACTGATGCCAGCTTTCCCCTAGATTACTGGATAGTTCAAGATCCATAAGGCACTGATGCCAGCTTTCCCCTAGATTATTGGATAGTCCAAGATCCATAAGGCAGCTGATGCCAGCTTTCCCCAGGGTTATTGGATAGTGCAAGATCCATAAGGCACTGATGCCAGCTTTCCTCTGCGCTGTTGGATAGTTCAAGATCCATAAGGCACTGATGCCAGCTTTCCCCTAGATTATTGGATAGTCCAAGATCCATAAGGCACTGATGCCAGCTTTCCCCAGGGTTATTAGATAGTGCAAGATCCATAAGGCACTGATGCCAGCTTTCCTCTGCGCTATTGGATAGTTCAAGATCCATAAGGCACTGATGCCAGCTTTCCCCTAGATTACTGGATAGTCCAAGATTCTTTCGAAGGCAATGATGCTAGGTTTCCCCTAGATTACTGGATAGTCCAAGATCCATAAGTCACTGATGCCAGCTTTCCCCTAGATTACTGGATAGTCCAAGATTCTTTCGAAGGCAATGATGCTAGGTTTCCCCTAGGTTATTGGATAGTCCAAGATCCATAAGTCACTGATGCCAGCTTTCCCCTAGATTACTGGATAGTCCAAGATTCTTTCGAAGGCAATGATGCTAGGTTTCCCCTAGGTTATTGGATAGTCCAATCCAAGATCCATAAGGCACTGATGCCACTGGCATTCTGGAAACCAGACAGTTTAGATGTTTTAGTGATCAATATGGGTTGTGTGACAAGATTTAAGCAAATGGGAACAAGAACTGGCAGTACATTTTTATTTTGTGACAAAGGAACATGGGTGTGATGCTGGTTGGAAAAGAGGATGACAGTAGAAATAGACAATACTTTCGAGGAAATTAAGGAGGAAGTGGGTAAAGGATGACAGTAGAAATGGACAATACTATGGATGAAATTAAAGAGGAGGAAGTACCTATATACAGAGTAAAATGTGGGAGTTCAATCTTTTGAAATGAGTTTAGAAAGAAGGAATTTAACTTCTCTATTATGATGTCACATTTCCAGTTGATTTATGTTTGCAGATGGACATGCACACACTGTGGATTATTCAAATATATGCCAACATGCTATGAAATGAACCAATTTATTTATTTTACCATAAAATACAGGGGTTTTTGCATTCATTAGAACCGAATTATGTTTAATTATGCAAATGTGGGAAAATATGCAAGTAACCAGAAAATATTGAAATAAATGCATGAATTACATAACATTAATAAATATGTTTTCATTTTTTAGTTAATGTATCATTATTTGATATTGTGTACTAATTTTCTAGTTTGTATCAATTAAGTAAAAGTGTTTTGGTTGTGTTCATAACAATAAATTTAAATATTTTATGTTTTATTTTCCAGAGACCTCAGTGGAAATAAATTGACATGTGATGTTAATATGGAATGGATACCAACATGGCTTGAAATAGAAGGCAATAGCATTAAGGGCACATGTTATTTACCTGATAAGCTGCAAGGAAGAACTCTTGATTCCATTCTACCACAGCAGTTTATTGGTAATAATTCATGCTGTAAATTTTGCTTCAAATAGGTGTGGTAATAATTCTGTAAAACCAAGAATTGTTTTTTTTTTCTTTCTACAAAATTAATTTTTATTAATTTTTTATTAATTTTATATATTGACATATAAAATCAAGGAACACACCAATATTGGTGGAATGACACTTTATAAACAATGTCTCTTTATGAGGTTTAGATCCCTGCTTTTCAAACTATTTTGACACAAAATGACGCTTTATAAACAATGTATCTTTATGAGGTTTAGATCCCTGCTTTTCAAACTATTTTGACACAAAATGACGCTTTATAAACAATGTCTCTTTATGCTGCTTAGATCCCTGCTTTTCAAACTATTTTGACACAAAATGACACTTTATAAACAATGTCTCTTTATGAGGCTTAGATCCCTGCTTTTCAAACTATTTTGTGACCCAAATTTGGGTCGCCAAAGCATTTCAGAGGGTCATGAGACTACTTCTGACTTTAAAAAAAAGACAGACTTTGGCAAAGTGCATTTTGAAAAAAAAAAACTTCTACATAGCTGTCCAACAAAAAGTAACCTAGACGTAGCTACGAAGACGAAAGTGCGAAATGATACCCATGATAATGACCTATTGTAAATTTAATTCAGGTTTTCTATTTTGTAAATTGAATCTCCAATTCAGCCTCTGGCTGCTAAGGATTTGATATTGTTGTTGTTTTGAATTTATGAATAAAGATACCGAGATATAAAGTAATCGTTAAAAAATCATTAAGTAGTAGACTTAAATTATTAGGAAATTAGCTTATTGAAAAATTGATCAGAATCAGTTAAAATAGCCATTTGTTGATATTTGTGTAGATCCTTCCTTTCTACCAATTACACCAACTTCTAAGCCACCTGATAAAACAACTAAGATGGAGTCAACAAGGAAACAGAGGATTCCAAAAAAATCTGGAACAAGTAAGTGAAAAATATAATATGATGATTAAACTTGAATGCTTCATGAACTGGATCTTTGAGATATTTGTGAGAATTTTTGTAATTGTGGAATCTATGATTTGTACTTATCAGAGGATCAAAATTAAAATTTTCTTATGATGCATATACTTATGTAATTGGCTAACAATAACAAAATTCTAATTTCTTTGAATTTAAAATTTGGTATCGATTCCTAAGACGAGACTTTTTTACCCGGCGCCCGTAAATAATGATTTTGAATAAAAATGAAATTTTATTTTTGGCCAATTAGCGTACCTGCTACCATGAAAAATGGAAATTGAAAAAATAATGAAAGTTTTTCTTTATTTTTATTATGCCCTCCGCTGCCTTGAAATATCTAAAGATAAGAATAAATTTAAAAAAAATATTTTAAAAAAAAGATGTGTATTTCTTTCTAATTATATAAATTTAGAGCATTTAACCATCCCATTATAACACTATTTACATTTACCAATAACATTTTATTTTTATTTTCTCCTCTGTCCGATGATCTTAAAAAATAGGTTCGCAAAACAAGGAATAAAGAAAGTCTCGCCTAACATATATAAGCATGTCATCTGAATCCATGTTGCTTTTTAATTATTTTTATTATGTAACAATAATGTTTTTCTACAGGCCCTTTCAGACAGAAAATACCGCAATTATACCATAGTCACGCCAGCGCTATTGCTAGTGTAGACCCTTTCACACAATTAGTAAAGATCCGGTATTAATACCGTATCCTGTCTGAAAGGCGTCCCGTGCGAAAGGAGTATTTTGCGTCTGTGAACAAAAAGGGCGCAATTTTATATTGGCAACCCTGATCTAAAAACAACTCTTCAACAAAAATATTTCACACTTTGACCTTTGATTTGTTATGCTTCAGTGCATAGGACGGCAATGAACCGCTACGGTATTAATGCATTATTTTGACTAGGTTCCGAGGAGGTCTAACCTAAGCCGGCATTTAGGCGTATTTACCCTTTCACATAGAATGCAGGCGTTCGCGAAAAACAGTATTAATACCGTATTGCAGCTCTGTGTGAAAGGGGCTTATGTCACAAAACAGCCTATTAAAAACTTTTTTTATTATTATTAAAACTTTATTTTTACACGGAAAGCTTGTTTCACCCAGAGGGTGTTATTCTACAAGGCCGTGTTGTCATTGAAGTTGCAAAATAACAGTATAAAATAAAACTAACACATAATCATAGATGTGTATAAGAGACAGAAATTACACCTATACATTTTCAATGTTGATTCTACATTGAAATAAAAATTATGTTTAGCATTTCTAACATGTTCATCCAGTGCGTTCCAGAGAATAGCACCACGGTAAGATAAACTTTTCTTTTTGTATTCCGTGTGAGGACGATCAACTTTTAAGACATCATTTAATCTGGTTAAATAATTTTGTTCCTTAAATGTAAAATGTTCGGTCAAATAAGAGGGAGCCATGTTATGAAAAATCTTATACATGGTTATTGCTTCATTTTTATACAATTTGTTTTCTAAATTTTCCCAATTTAAGATCTGCAAAGCTTGTGTACTTGAATCATCTTTTTGTTTTTTCAGAATTATTTTTGCCGCTCTATTTTGTAAGATTTGTAATTTGTTTTTTTGAATTTGAGTAGATCTACCCCATACTAGGTTACAGTATTCAAAATGAGGAGCAATAATGGTTTTGTACATAAGAGATTGTTGATCATTTGATAGAAATTTAGAAGTCTTTTTCAAATAGTACAAACCTGGCAGAACTTTAGTTTTTACATTATCAGTTTGCTTATTCCATGATAAATTTTCATCGATATAAACACCGAGGTGTTTGCAATAACTAACCTTGTTTAAACAATTATTTTCTATATACAAATTAACATTACTGTTTGATAATTTAGAAAGTTTTTTCTTTGTACCAATAAACATACATTCAGTTTTTTGTACATTTAATGTAAGTTTATTGTTAATAAGCCACTTTCTAATGCTTTCAAGGTCAACATTTAAGTTATGTACAACATTATCAATATTAGGAGATGAATAATAAAGTATTGTATCATCAGCATTCATGCTAATTTTTACATTACAAACACTTTTTGGCAAATCATTGACATATAACACAAATAAAAGTGGCCCTAGAATAGAATCGTGGGGTATTCTGCAAATACTTTGACATTTAGTTGATTGTATACCATTTACATGCGTGGTATGGGAACGATCACTTAAATAATTTTTAAACCATATTATTATGTTGTTATCAAGCTTAAAGATTTTAAGTTTTTCAATGAGAATCTTATGGTCAACTGTATCAAATGCCTTTTTAAGGTCTAGTGTTACTAGACCTGTAAAATGACCATTGTCTATAGCATTTATCCAGTCTTCAGTAATGTTTAATAATGAAGACATATTTGAAAAATTTGAGCGAAATCCTGATTGGCAATTATAGATCATATTATTCTCATCAATGAATTTGTACACTTGATCAAACACCGCCCTTTCTAATATTTTTGATAAAGTGGGTAATATTGAAATTGGCCTATAGTTACTAGGTTGAGACCTATCACCACCCTTAAAGATGGGGCAAACTTTAGCATTTTTCCACTTGTATGGGAATTGACCTGAAGATAAGGATAAATTCACTATGTACGTTAGTGGTCCAACAATTGAATTTATAGCAGCTTTGGCTAATTTAGAAGGTAGTTTATCGTTTCCAGTTGCTTTTTTAGGAGAAATACGCTTTAGCTGTTCAAAAAAATATTGTTCATTGACGTTACTAAAAGACAGACTTCCTATGTTATCATTAGACTTGTCAGATTCTATATCTTCTCTTTCTGGAAATTTTGATGCAAGATTGGGCCCTACATTTGAAAAGAATATATTTAGACTATTAGCAATTTTAGTTGGATCTGATGTTTCTTTATTGTCATTAATTTGTAAATTTTGGATTTCATTACTTTTACTTTTAGAAGGTATAATGTGTCTTATGGTTTCCCATATTTTTTTAAGATCATTAGTATTTAGATTTTCAGAAAAGTATTCTTTTTTGTAATTTTTAATTTTAGTATTTACATTATTTTTAATTTTGCGATATTGATCCCATAATTCAGGGATATTACATTTATTAGCCCTTTTTTTAAGGACATCACGTTCTTGCATGATTTTTATTAGATCCTTTGTTAGCCACGGGCAATTCTTATGACGAACACGCTTTTTCTTAATTGGGGCATGTTTTTGTGCCACTGGGTTTCAAAGTAATTAACTGCATCATCAACGTTACCGTAATTAGTAATTAGTAAGTTTTTATAATTTCTACCTATTTTAAACCTATGTTTATGATTTATTTTCTTCTCCTTACCTAGTATTGCAAAAATTGCTGAGTGGTCACTGATGCCAGTATGAAGTACACCAGAGTTACAAATTTTGTTAGGAATAGTAGTATATATATGATTTATAAGAGTTTTACTATTTTGAGTTATTCTTGTTGGTTCTGAAATTATTTGTTTGAGGTGAAAATTATTTGCTAAATCAACCATTTTAGTAGTGTAACAAGTCAGATTTGATGCCATAGTGTCACAATTTACATCACCAACCATAATTATTTCAAAGTTTGTACTTTCAACATTTTTTAACAACT